TGTGCTTCTTGAAAAAAGATTCAAACTCAGACTTGGCAGGCTGTGTTACTGGCAGGAAGCGAGAAGGGGAGAGGTAGCCGTTTCCAGGCAGCAGTGAGGCGGCCCTGGACTGCAGGGCCCGGGTGAAGCTGCCGTCTCTTGCGGACGTTTTATTCTCCTGGAACGTCCGGGTTGGGTCTCCTGCAGCCCTTCCAGACCCGACTCGGAGCAGATCCCAGCAGAATGGAGTGGGCCACTGGCCAGACACGCCCGCTGCCGTCCCACTGGTGCCGTGGGTTCTGTCACCGAACTCGCCGAGGCAGGAGCTCCCTGCCCTTGGTCCTGCCTGACGCTGAATCAAGTTCATGGCTTAAACTTTTTCCTTTCCTAATCCTGCATTTTCATGTCTACTGCACAGGATAATTATAGCTCAATATGCTCAAATGGCTTTTTAAACGTCACAGAGTTAGGAAGCTACAAAGTTAGAATTATCTCTTTTCTCTAAGAAAAATTTTAATCTGAAAATTGTGGAAAAACATGAGAGAGAAGAAACTTCACGCAAGTATGTACAATATAATTTAAAAATATATTTATTTGGGCCCAGTGCAGTGGCCTAGCGGCTAAAGTCCTCACCTTGAACGCACCAGGATCCCATAGGAAGCCGGTTCTAATCCCGGCAGCTCCACTTCCCATCCAGCTCCCTGCCTGTGGCCTGGGAAAGCAGTGGAGGACGGCCCAAAGCCTTGGGACCCTGCACCCGCGTGGGAGACCTAGAGTAAGTTCCTGACTCCTGGTTTCGGATCGGCGCAGCACCGGCCGTTGCGCTCACTTGGGGAGTGAATCATCGGATGAAGATCTTCCTCTCTTCCTCGCGTTCAAGGTGAGGACCCTAGCCATTAGGCCACCGTGCCAGGCCCAACTTTTAAATAAATCTTTTAGACAATGAGAATTTTTGAAAACTTGCAAGCTTGAGAGGATAAAGGCCCCAGGAGGCAGAGTGCCAGGACACGGACCCTTCCGTGGGCACTGAGCTGTTGGACAAGTGGTCTCTCGGGCTGCACAGCCAGTTCAGCTGGAGGGGGCTGCTGAAGCTGAGTGACACCTAAGCCACTGCTGAGCTCACACACACTCACCTTCCACACCTGTACACGCACCCAGTTCCTCACCAGCACTGCAGGGTCCCTCCTTTAACACCTCATAAGGTCGACTGGAGGAGATCAGAGTCCTGCCAGGCACAGGCCCTGAAGGGGAGGCGGAGTTGTGCAACAAGCTTGGCGTCAGACACGCTGGAGTCCACAAGCTGCCTGCTGCTTATTAGACAGGAAACTTGGAGGAGCTGCTTCCCCTTCTCGAGTCCCTCCTCACCCATAAAGCGGGCATAACAACATCCTCCCCCAACAGCCAGGACAGCCAGGATCACAGGGCTGCCGTCCAGCAGGGCTGTGCAGCTGTGCAGATCTGCAGGGAGAGGCTGTACCCCGCACTGTTAAAGCGAGGTTTAGAGACCGCGTACATCAGGCTGTATAGCCTAGCTCTGTGTGTGAGGGCTTCCGAAAGGCTGTGAGAGACGGGAATTCCAAGATGAGTTTTTTAATTTTAAAGATTTGTTTATTTGGGCCTGGCACGGTGGCCTAGTGGCTAAAGTCCTCACCTTGAACACGACAGGTCCCATATGGGCACCGGTTCTAATCCCAGAGGCCCCACTTCTCATCCAGCTCCCTGCTTGTGGCCTGGGAAAGCAGTCGAGGACGGCCCAAAGCCTTGGGACCCTGAACCTGGCTTCAGATCAGCATAGCACTGGCTGTTGCGCTCACTTGGGGAGTGAATCATCGGATGGAAGATCTTCCTCTCTGTCTCTCCTCTCTCTGTATATCTGCCTTTCCAATAAAAATGAATAAGTATTTTTAAAAAGACTTATTTTTATTGGAAATTCAAATTTACAGAGAGGAGAGACAGAAAAATTGTCCATCTGCTGGTTCACCTATCCCTGACTGCTCTCCCAGGCCACAAGCAGGGAGCTGGAAGGGAAGTGGAGCAGCCTAGACACAAACCAGCCCCCACATGTGATCCCAGTGGCTGTAACGCGAGGACTTTAGCCACCAGACTATTGCAGCCAGGTCCCCAAGATCAGTTTACCTAGCCACACATACAACACGCAAACTGGAATCCAAGTGTGCCAAGGGGTCTCCCAAAGGTGCAGGGAAGGTGTTGTGGACAAAACTGCGCCTGCCTTCTAAACTGCACCTGCGCCGCAGTCAACTCAATCGCAAAGTTCCATGACATTTCTGAATTGCTCTGTGCTGACCTTTGGCAAGTTGCTCAATTTTTTCCAGGACGTTTGTTTACACATTGGTGAGATGGGAGGTCTAGACTGTGAGTAAGAGAAGGCAAGAACTCGGTAAGTCGCGTAGCTGGGGCAGGCACTTCGAGCGCACTGTGAGAATCTGACACGACCCCCTCAGTGGGACACACCCCCAAAGTTACAGCAGCACCAACTATTCCAGACTGGGCCACAGCAGAAAACGTCCCTTAGCATTTGGCTGTTTCAATTTTTTTTTTTTTTCACTGAAAACATTTTATTGGCCTCTTAGAAACGGGAATTTATTTGCCAGGAAGGATGATTCCATCATACTTCTGCTGGAACCAGCGCATGGCCTCCTCTTTGCTGATTCTGTGTTTGGCCCCAATGCAGCCTGTCCTGCGCTTCTTGTCCGCGATGCTGAAGCCTGGCCTGCCCAGCACCACATAGAAGTCCAGGCCGTAGATGCCAATGCTTGGGTCGTATTTAATTCCCAGGTCGATGTGCTCTTGGATCCCCAAACCAAAGTTTCCAGTGTCTGAGAAGTTATTTTTCCTCAACTCGTACTCCCGCACCTTCAGACCCTTCTCCAGGATCTCCTCCGCCTTGGCCGCCCGGACCTGCAGTGCGCGGCGATCTTCTGTGTACCTGGCTTTGGAGAACACGGGGTCTGGCCCGTGAGCTGCTCCAACACCTTGGCCGCCCGGGTCAGTCTGTCTCCACTCTCCCCCACGCAGATGTTGAGGCAGAGTTTGCGGATGCGCAGTTCCCGCATGGGGTTCTCCTTCCCACCTTGGTCCGCCATGATGGAGAACAGGAAAAAAAAAAGTGTTTCAATTTTTTGTCTGGGTCTTTCTCCTCCCCCTCTCGAGAGGCACCCACCGCCCGGCCTTCTCCCAGGAGGTGCCTCCCCTTCCTTCTCCCTTCCCGTCTCACCTGGTCCTTTCGCAAACCAACTTTCCTGTCTGCAAGACAAGCCTTTTATGTCAACCCAAGTTTCACACCCCTATTTTCCAGAAGTTTCTGAAATAACGGTCATCCGCATGTGGCCCAGCAGAAACTCCAACGTGTCTCCATGCTGGTAGGTCACGCTCCCTCCACGGACAGCATGTTGGGGAGGCTTCTGACTGATGTGTACCCACACAGGGCATCTGACCCCGGATGGTCCCACACTGCCGTGAGGCACACACATCACTTCATTCCCACTGTCAAGGCGTGTCCTGCTCTCCACGCACAGCATCCATTTTTAAACAGTTTACAAAGCCCACAGATCAACAGTGTAATAACCCTGGGCTTTGAACATAAAACAATGAGCAAGCAAGCATCTGACTTGAACTTTCTGGCAAATTCCACGGGTGTCAAAGGGCAAGACCTCAGAAGTCTGTGCTGACCACACCTGCCATCTGGTTTAAGTTCAGAGCTGAGGAGCCAGGCCTCAGGCAGGGGGCAGGGAGGTGCCCTGGGGGATGGGGTGTGGGTGTGTGTGACCTGGGGGATGGGTGTGTGTGTGACTTGGGGGATGGGGTGGGGTGTGTGTGACTTGGGGGATGGGTGTGTGTGTGTGACCTGGGAGATGGGTGTGTGTGTGTGTGACTTGGGGGATGGGGTGGGTGTGAGTGTGTGACCTGGGAGATGGGTGTGTGTGTGTGTATGACCTGGGGGATGGGGTGTGTGTGTGTGTGTGACTTGGGGGATGGGGTGGGGTGTGTGTGACTTGGGGGATGGGGTGGGTGTGTGTGTGTGACCTGGGAGATGGGTGTGTGTGTGTGACCTGGGGGATGAGGTGTGTGTGTGTGTGTGACATGGGGGATGGGGTGGGGTGTGTGTGTGACCTGGGGGATGGGGTGTGTGTGTGTGTGTGACCTGGGAGATGGGGTGTGCATGTATGTGACCTGGGGGATGGGGTGTGCGTGTGTGTGACCTGGGGGATGGGTGGGTGTGTGGATGACCAGGGGGATGAGGTGTGTGTGTGGGTGTGACCTGGGGCACCCAGAACAGGCCTCCATCGCGGCCAGCACCGAGCGCCCAGCAGCCCTCCGAACACGATCAGGGCCCTCCAACTCGGGCACAAACGTCCTAAGAACCCGGGAGAATCGCAGGATCCCGACGGAGATCAAACGGCACACTTCGTACACCAGTCCGCCTTTCCGCTCCGGGCGGTCACTCTGAGAACCAGGCGCGCCGGGACAGGGGACCCGCCATGTCCCCTCGGGGCGCCGCGGCCAGCGCAAGGCCAGCGCAAGGCCAGCCCGGGCGACGCGCGGACACCGGCACGGCCGGCGGGGGAGGGGCGCCAACCGCCATCTTCCCGGCTCCGGCGGCCGCGCGCCGTCTCGCGAGACCCGCCGCCTGCGCCGCGGGGGCCGCCGGGAAGGGCAGGGAGAGGGGAGCGGACGGCAGGCCGGAAGCCGGGCGGCGGCAGCGTCAGCGGCCTCGGGCGCGGGGGCGGGGCACGTCGCGACGGACGCGGCGCGCGGGCCAATGCGGAGCGAGCTGGGGCGGGCCGGCAGCCAATGGGCGGCGGGGGGCGGGCGCCGGGGCCGAGCGAGCCGGAGCGCGGCGGCGGCGTTGTTCAGTCAGCGCGAGAACCTTCGAGAGGTGAGTGCGCGCGCGGGGCGGCGGCCGCGCCCCTCCCCCGGCCCGCGCGGCCCCGCGGCTCACCGTGTCTCCGCGCCAGGTCGCCGCTCGGCGCTGCCCGCCCGCGGACGTCGCTGGGACAGCCCCTCCCGCTGCTCGGCGGCGGCACCGGCCCGGCCGCTCCCCGCGCTGCGCTGCCCGGACCCGCGCCCCGCACCCCGGACCCGCACCCCGCACCCCGACTCGGCTTGGAGCGCGCCTCGCTTCCTCCCAGGCCCGGGCGAGCAGCGCTGGGTTTATGTCTTTATTTGACGAAAACGGTGAGTGGCGGGCGGGAGATGGCGGCCGCACAAGATGGCGGCGCGGCGCGTGACGGGCGGCGTGTGGCGCAGTTTGGGGGGCCCCGGCACCCCGCGGCCGAGGGGGCGGCGCTGCCGCAGCGTGAGTCACGGCGCGGCCGCGTGCGGGCCCGGGCGCGGCGGGCGCGGCGGGCGCGGCGTGCGGGCGTGCGGGGACTCGGGCGGCGTGTCGCTTGCTGTCTTGCAGAGCTGTTGCGCAGCCGCCGGGACCTGTGTTGGGGCAGCAGAGCGCACGAGCGAGGAGCCCGCAGCCTCAGTGGCCAAGACTTTTTCATGTCAGAGACCGAGAACTCTTGCAGTCGTTTATGTCATCCCTTCTTCTCCAGACAGAAGATACCAAAAAGTTGCCATCAAAGGTCTCTTCACCTTATTGATAAAGCCACTAATAAGCCAAAATGTCTGTCAACGTCAACCGCAGCGTGTCAGACCAGTTCTATCGGTACAAGATGCCCCGTCTGATCGCCAAGGTAACGGGGAGCTCGGGCGCGGCCCCGGCGGCTCTCCTCCGGGTGACCCGCCAAAACCCGCGTCGTGTCTCCTTTAGGTCGAGGGCAAAGGGAATGGAATCAAGACCGTTATCGTCAACATGGTTGACGTTGCCAAGGCGCTGAATCGGCCTCCAACGTGTGAGTAAAGCTGCTTGGGGAAGTGGGGAAGTGGCCCGGGAGCCGCGCCTGGCGGGTGGTTGCAGGCTGTGCAGCTTGCTTGGGGCGAGCGCGGAGCCGCGGCCGGACAGCTGTGGAGTTAGACGGAAGCAGGTGTGCAGGGGCAGCTGGAGGGACTGAGCTCAGGTCGGAGCTGCCTCTCCCCGAGTAAATGCCGTGTGAGTTAGCAGGCCTAAACGGCTGGGGTGTGTAGCAGCTGCCGGAGTGATTAACCTCGGGCTGGACCCGCCTCTCCCGGCTTAGATCCCCCGCGAGGTAGCAGGTGCGTAGGTGTGCGTGTGTGGAGGACTGACCCAGGCCGGCCCTGCCTCTCCCCGACCAGATCCCACCAAGTACTTCGGCTGTGAGCTGGGAGCGCAGACCCAGTTTGACGTCAAGAATGACCGCTACATTGTCAACGGATCTCACGAGGCGAACAAGCTGCAGGACATGCTCGATGGGTTCATTAAAAAGTTTGTTCTCTGCCCCGAGTGTGAGAATCCTGAAACAGACCTGGTGAGTGCGTGGCGCCCGAGCCTCGTGCGCCGAGGTTGGCGATAAGGACACGCTGCCTCGGAAACAGCTGTGTGTGGGTACTGAGGAGGAAGGCGTTGGAATACTTCGTATCCGGGAGATGTACTATTTCCGGTCTTTTCACACTAGCTTGTACAGGTGGCTTGCAGTGCAGTTGACATATTTTTTCCCCTCCTGGACAGCATGTCAATCCGAAGAAGCAAACGATAGGTAATTCCTGTAAAGCCTGTGGCTACCGAGGCATGCTTGACACCCATCACAAACTCTGCACATTCATCCTCAAGAACCCGCCCGGTGAGTCTTCACGGAGCAGAATGGCAAGTTCTGTGTCACAAAGCATGTGTGTGAGAAGGGCGCGGTACTCAGTCCCGACGGCCGTTCCGCGCCGTCGAGGCCGAGGGGGGAAGCTGGGCTGCAGCAGCACGTGTGGACCCCTCGGAGGAGGGTGTCCTGCCGGGGCTGTTGACAGAGCCTAGCTGAGCATTTCAGCATTGCAAGCAACACTCTGTGGCAGACCGTCAATCATCTGACACAATTTGCGCTTGCTACAGCAAGGAAGTCTAACCTATTCCGGCGTGCGCTCTACCGTGAGGCCGACCGTTATTGAGACTTAAACACTGTTAGCCGGGGGAGGTGGCAGGCGTGTTCAAGATCAGTGTAGTCCTGAGGATTTCTGCAGCTCCGGTGCCTGAGGTTCCCCCAGTTGGAGTAACAGTGTCTGTCCATTCTGCTCTCCTGCAGAGAACAGTGACAGTGGTACAGGAAAGAAAGAAAAAGAAAAGAAGAATAGGAAGGGCAAAGACAAGGAAAATGGGTCCGTGTCCAGCAGTGAAACGCCGCCGCCGCCGCCGCCGCCGCCAAATGAGATGAGCCCTCCTCCACATGCCGTGGTAAGCGGGTGCTGAGGCCAGGGGCGCGCCGAGAGGGGCTGCGGTTCCTCACCTGGGGTCCCACCTAGTGCCACAGTGCTGTAGCTCCGGGGCTCTTGGTTAATTGAAACAGGATGGGCCTGATTGAAGAGTAGACTCGATTGCATAAACTTGGCAGTGTGGGCGGGTTCTCGAGGCTCGGCTCGAATGTCTCCTCAGCAGGAGGACGACGATGACGACGACTGGGGGGAGGACACGACCGAGGAGGCGCAGAGGCGCAGGATGGACGAGATCAGTGACCACGCCAAAGTCCTGACCCTCAGCGACGACCTGGACAGAACTGTGGAGGAGCGTGTCAACATCCTGTTTGATTTTGTCAAGGTAAAACGCTTGCTCTGGAAGTAAGGGGCTGCTCAGGTGTGGGCCTTTGAGACATTGTTGGCTTAGCTAATGAATGGGCAAGTAAATCTTCGTCATCTTGGGAATGTTCTGATGGCTCTTTGACCGGGGGTCTCCTTTCCAGAATCAGTGTTGGTGTAATTGCAGCCATACAGGGGCTTCCTGATGTCATCAACCTTTTCGTTTTTCTTGGAATTGTTTTCCATTGCAGAAGAAGAAGGAAGAGGGTATTATTGACTCATCTGACAAGGAGATTGTTGCTGAGGCAGAAAGGCTGGACGTGAAGGCTATGGGGCCTCTTGTCCTGACTGAAGTTCTTTTTAATGAGAAGATTAGAGAACAAATTAAGAAATACAGGCGCCATTTCTTAAGAGTAAGCAAATTGATTTATGATGAAATTATGAATGTTTCTTGGGTCTAGCTCCCATCACTTAACATGTGTCAGAAACATGTTAATACCGAGATGCCATCTGTTCGCAGTTTTGTCACAACAACAAGAAGGCCCAGCGGTACCTTCTTCACGGCTTGGAGTGTGTGGTGGCCATGCACCAAGCGCAGCTCGTCCCCAAGATCCCGCACATCCTCAAGGAGATGTACGACGCGGACCTTCTAGAAGAGGAGGTCGTCATCAGCTGGGCGGAGAAGGTGGGGGCCGGGGGCCGGCGTGGGGGGCCGGGGGCCGGCGTCGGGGACCGGGGGCCGGCGTCGGGACCGGGCGCCGGGGGCCTGCGTGGGGCGCTGCCGTCGGGCCGCGTTACCGTGTTAACCGAGTATGTTTTCCTGAGGCTTTGAGACTGGGATATGATATACTCAAAGACCTTACTTGAGCAGGTTGTTTAATGCAGAGTGAATTACTTTTCATGTCCTCAGACTAAAAAAAAAAATTATACTGATCGGTTCTTAGGCTTCTAAGAAATACGTCTCAAAGGAGCTTGCCAAAGAGATTCGTGTCAAAGCAGAACCCTTCATCAAGTGGCTGAAGGAGGCGGAGGAAGAATCTTCCGGTGGTGAGGATGAGGATGAGGATGAGAACATTGAAGTAAGTGCTCCCAGAGCAGAGCCTTGGTGACGGTGTATGAGGGTCGGAGGACTGAGCAGTGGAGTAGTCAGGAGAAGTGGGGAAGGAGTTGGCTCATTTTGATTGAAACGTCCAATTTATACAGAAAAGGAGATTTTTACTTTTTTTTTTTTTTAGATTTATTTATTTTATTGGAAAGTCAGATATACAGAGAGGAAGATCTTCTATCCATTGATTCACTCCCTGAGCGGCTGAAATGGCCAGTGCTGAGCCAATCCAAAGCCAGCTGCCAGGAGTCTCTCCTGGGTCTCCCACATGGGTGCAGGAACCCAAGACATTGGGCCAGGATTAGAACAGGCGCCCATATGGGATTCCTGCACGTTGAAGGACTTTAGCCGCTAGGCTAATCTATTGGTTCACATCCCCAAAAAGCTGCAAACACTGGAGTTAAACTGATTCAAACCCAGGAATTTGTTCGCTCTCCCTTGTGGGTGTTGAGGCCGTCCTCAGTTTTTCCAAGGCCACAAGTAGGGAGCTGGGTGCGAAGGGGCAGCCGGGACATGCTGCCCTCGGAACATGCTGGCACTTGCAGGTAAAGGATTAGTTAATTGAGCTATGTTGCAGGCTCTAGGAAATAATTGTTAAAAAGATTTTAAGTGGCAGTAAATTTAAATGAACATGACAGCCGGTGGGCAGTTTGGCGAAGGCCTGGCCCAGGGCAGGGTGGGTGCACCCGCAGTACGCGCCGCGGCTGCTCCGGTCGAGATTGGAGCAGGTTCGCAGTCGGTCATCTCTCCCTCAGGTGGTGTATTCCAAGACTGCCAGCGTTCCGAAAGTTGAAACTGTGAAATCTGACAGCAAGGATGACGACATTGACATCGATGCCATCTAAAGGAGTGGATGCAGCCCAGTTAGCAGTGTAATGCTGCCAGAAGTGCAACATGTATGTGCAAAGGCTAAAGCAGCTCAACATCATGCGACACTTGATACTGTGAGTGGTCCGGACACCTAGGGAGCCCACACACGCCAGTGAGCAGGTGTAGTTTGCTTACTAACAGCATGTTATTTTTAAAAACTAGTGATGGACACATTTGGATCACATTTATACAGTTAAAAATAAAGATTTGATTTTGGTCATTCTTAAGATTTTTGGCTCTGAATGACTTGGCTGAAGTCCTCGGCTCCTTCCTGTAAGGCACCACCCAGCCTCGGCCGTGATTGGACCTGTGGAGCGTGCCGTGCAGTGCTGTCAGTGTCTGTACTCGCAATGACCTGTGGAGCGTGCCGTGCAGTGCTGTCAGTGTCTGTACTCGCAATGACCTGTTCAGCCATGAGAAACACAGCACTTTATGCAGGCCTCACCTCCAGCCCCGCAGTGGGTGTCAGCCGTGCACGTGGTTGACGCTGAGGTAGACTGCTCGTTACTCCACAGTGCAGCATCTGCCCGAGGGGCAGGAATGACCCGAGTGTCCTGTCCAAGTTCATTCAAGAGCAGGTGTTGAAACTTGAAATTTTGTTTTCCCACTTTGTGTACTTTCCCCAGATTTGTAGTCTTTGAGTCCTGTGCGTCTGCGCGTTGGACGAGCCAGGGAGATTGCTACATAACAGATGCACATTTATGTATGTACTTGGAGTGGCTGCTTCATCTAAGAGAAAACTCAAAATTTGGGGTGTGATTAAATAGTCTTATTTGGAGAAAACCGGTCAAGGTGCACTTAATCTCTAGCAGGAACTGATCGTAGTTTTTAGCTTTTACCATTATGGTTTAAATTATAACTTCCGAATGCTTAGACATACTGTTTTGTTGAGTGTGGTTTTGCCCCGGACCCTATGGTTTGTTCATTGCCTTTCCCACTTGAACCACATAGCTTATGCTTTCTAGATTTTGGTTGCTATCTTGCCAAAATAAGTGTTACTGTGTTCCAAACTTGATTTTTTTTTTTGTCTTATTTTAAAAATAAGGTTAAAAGCATATTTCTAAGTCAGAGCCTCTATTTTGGTGTAAGACTTGGGATATTTTTTACTTCACATTGAATCTAGGCAGACGCCCAAGAAGTCTGTGCAGATGGCCAGGCCTCAAGCAGCCCGGCGTCAGGGTCGGACCCGTGCGCAGGGGTTCCTGCCCAGGGAGCTCGCGTAAACTCACTTGATCCGAGTTCTATCTAAGTAATCTTCAAGATGCAAATTTGCTGTTTGGTCCTTTCTGCAAAAAGTGGGAACTGGTGACCTTGTGGGAGGATTGGCTGCACAGCATCCCCTTCTTTCTTTGTGACCCATCTCACAGATTATGAGACTTTAAATAACAAATGTATGTAAAATTTTTCACATTGAAATTATACAAACATTTGATAAAATAAAACCTTGTTAGCTTGATGTTTCAAGGAATTTAAACTTAGCAGTCTTACTTGAGAGTTTGTTTACAGCTGCCTTCGGGTAGATGGCGCAGGAGGCACGTGCGGGTGCAGTGTGCTGTCATGCCGAGGGGTCTGCACGCTCGCATGCCAGGCTTCAAACCCTGCCCTGTGCCCGGTTTGCTTTCACTGACTGAAATGCTATAGGAGGTCCCGGTGACCTAGTTAAACTCAGTCACAGTGTCAAGCTAATGAGGTTGTCTTTACAGAGCTTTTTACTTTAACTTGAAGGAAGTTCGTTTAGAGCATCTCAACACTAAAGAGGATTTTGGCTTGGGCTATGTTCAGTCTTGTGCCAAACTTCCAGTGGGATTAAAATTCACGGAATCAGAGTGTTCTTTGCAGAGGTTACCCTGATAGAGGAAATCCTCTTGGCTCTGTTGAACTGTCTTAAAATTTCCTGTTTCAAACAGCTACATTACTTGATTAAAACTATTAAAATGGTGTTTTGTGTTTGCTTTAATATTAAAGCTACAAGTTTTCATTTCACAATGAAATCAGTCATTGCCCATTTTGTAGCTGGTGCGCCATGGCCGGTGTCGCTTGTGCGGTTGGCTGGCTGCTAACAGTCTGCTGCCTCTTCTTCCCTCGCCCTCACCTGTGTGCCCTGCTGACAGGCTAGGAGTCGATGCGTGTGTCCACTGCAAGGGGACTTGGCCTGTAGCTCAGGAAAGTGTGTCGAGCCTCCAGTAGGAGCTCTAGGGTCTAACAGAGGGTCTGTGGTGGGGTCTGCAGAGCCGGTGCCTGCCATTTGGTTTTCTGGACAGCGATTTCTGTTTGAATGGAAAACATTGACTTGGACCTTGAACTCAAACCTGAGCTGTGCCCGAGAGAGCACAATGTGACTGATAGTGCCTGGGACATCAGCAGGAGACGGGATCACCACTGGGGCAGGAAAGGGACAGCAAGCAGCATGTCCCCCAAGGGATGGCCACCAGCAGTAAGAGAAGGCTGTGCTGTGCCGAGTTCCTGCACTGCTGCAGCTGACGTCAGCCAAGTTCTGGAAGAAAACTGGGCCTTCAGAGGAAGTGGCACTGGCAGCAGCGTGCTTGAGGCCAACCCTCAATATATCTTCCACTGCCTAAGTCAGTACTTTGCTGTGTGGCTTCGGGGTTTCTACTGCCACAGGAAAGGATGCCTGATGGTGCAGAGCAGACAGGCTAGTGGACTAAGGCCTGCTGCCTGTCCATATGCCCCAGTGGCATTTTATCCTTGGTTCTGAGCCAGCAGCCATGACAGGCCTGCGCATAATGCCCCAAGAGAGCCGACGCCAGAACAACCTGGGATGCTGAGGGCTACATTGCTGAAGGAGGGCTTGTGATGCAGGAGGTGCCTTCTGGCCCTCTGCTCTGAGCTGGGGGAGTGGGCGATGCACGGCAGCCCAGGAAATTCGGGTCCCCAAGGAGGACAGACAACGCTGGCTGCTAAGTACTTTTTTTTTTCTTTAAAGATTTGTTTTTAATACAAAGGTATACAGAGAGGAAGAGAGAGCAAGATCTTCTGTCGGATGATTCACTCCTCAAGCGGCCACAATGGCTGGAGCTGAGCCAATCCAAAGCCAGGAGCCAGGAGCTTGCCAGGTCTCCCGTGCAGTGGAGGGTCCCAAGGCTTTGGGCCGTCCTCTGCTGCTTTCCCAGGCCACAAGCAGAGAGCTGGATGGGAAGTGGAGCAGCCAGCACATGAACCAGCGCCCATATGGGATCCCAGCACAGGCATGGTGAGGACTTTAGCTGCTAGGCTACCACACAGGACCCTGTTTCTATCATTTTAAAGTGATAAAAACACTTTAAAGCTGCCTGCATGTAGGAGGTTGGCCAGTGAAGTCATGGTGCTGGTCCCTGTCCGACAGATGGAGTATCACCATGGTGTAGCAATTAGATGTGGATGCTGCCTCTGGCACCGACATCGCACACGGGCCCTGGGCCAAGCCTTGCCTGCTCCCCTTCTGATCCAGCTCTGTTAGCGCCTGGGAAATGAGCTGGAAATGGTCCAGGCACTTGGGCCCCTGCACACAAGTGGAGCATCTGGGTAAAGCTGCTAGTTTCTGCCTGGCCCAGCCCCAAACAATAGAGGAGGGAACCCTAGGTGGAAGATCTCTTTCCTGTCCTATGGAAAGCGTCTGGGAGGGGCAGAGGGCACTTGTGACCCCGCGTGTTAAGCTCCTGGCTCCACCAGGCGACCCTGTGACCGCTGGTTCAAGCTGCAGCTGCTCTGCATCTCATCTGCTTGCCTAGGAAAGCAGTGAAAGATGGCCCACGGTACTTCATTCCCTGAAACTCTGGGACCCAGATGGAATTCCAGATCTCCAGCTTGGGCCTGGCCCAGCCTTGGCTCCTGGGGTCATTGGGGAGTGAGCCGGCAGGTCAAGATTCTCCAACTCTGCGTTTTAACAGGTGAAATACATCTGGGTGAGCAGTTAAGACACTGAGGATTCTGCATCAAGGTGCATGGGTTCCAGTTGAATCACTTCGGCTCCATCTTTCTGCCTGTGCAGCAGCCAGGAGTGATGACTAAACAGATGGGTCCCTGCTGACCATGTGCAGGAAGCTGGAAGGGAAGTGGGGCTGCTGGGATTAGAATTGGTGCCCATATGGGATCCTGGCACATTGAAGGTGAGGACTTCGGCCACTAGGCTACAGTGCCAGGCCCCATAATAACACTTTTTTTTTTAAGATTTATTTTAATTGTAAAGGCGGATATACAGAGAGGAGAGACAGAGAGGAAGATCTTCCGTCTGCTGGTTCACCCCCTAGGTGGCCGCAACGGCTGGAGCTGAGCCAGTCTGAAGCCAGGAGCCTCTTCCGGGTCTCCCACACAGGTGCAGGGTCCCAAAGCCTTGGGCCGTCCTCGACTGCTTTCCCAGGCCACAGGCAGGGAGCTGGAAGGGAAGCGGGGCTGTCAGGATTAGAACCGGTGCCCATACGGGATCCCGGGCGTGCAAGGCGAGGACCTTAACCACTGCGCCACTGCGCCACTGCGCCACTGCACCGGGCCCAATAACACTCTTAAAAAGAGATTGTGCATGGGACAATATAATTGGGTGGATGTATGAATAAAAGAAACACTGTTAATTCCAAAATTTGCACAGTTTTGTGCCTATCCACAATTCTTTGAACAGTTTTGTTTATTGTTTTTCGTAAAATATTAGTATCTTTTAATGGGAGGACAAAGAAAAACGAACAAATCGACCTTTGTGACCTCATGGGAGATTTCAGCCACTGTCAGGGAACCGAGCAGCAGGCCACTCTGCCACTCTGAAGGACGGGGTTAGACTCAGCAGGCAGGGGAGGCGTCCCCAGGGAATGTGCCTTCCAGCAGTGAGGGGATGAGGTGCTGGCCCAGCGGAGGGGCTGGATGCAAAGCGGATCTCCGCAGGAAGGCAGGCTGAGGAGGGAGGGAGGTGCTGCCTGGGTGAATCCCAGCAAGGACAGGCCGTTTCCACAGGAAGCAGAGCCAGAGGGGCTAGGCCGTGGGGAGGCACCACGTGCTCAGCTGGCTGTGCTCACTTCTGGCTGCACGGGGCAAAGGGGGCTGGGCCTTGGCTGGGGGTGGAGCACCTGTCCCAGGAGAGCATCCTCAGGCCGGGTGGGAAGCACAGCAGGGTTGCATCAGAGGCTGGCCTGTGACATGGCAGACGGTCACTTCCTGGGACACCCACGTCCTGCGTGAGCGCAGCTTTGTGTCCCGGCTGCCCCTCCACACCAAGGATGTGCCTGCAGGATGGTTCTAGTGTTTGGATTCCCGCCAGCTGCTGCGGCCTGGCCCGGCCTTGACCTTAGAGCCTTCTGGGGAGCGGGACTCTATGGGATGTTGCCATCTCTGTCCGTGCACTGCTGAGCCTCCCGCCCTGCACACCTGAGAGCTGCACTGAGCTCACGGACCAAGCCAGGCCCTGGGGGAGGCAAGAGCTGGGTGGCATTCTGCTGCTCTTTCCCTGCCTCAGCTAACAGTTCTAAAAGGCAGAGCAGAGCAGGTCCCTTAGGAAAGAGGAAGGACCTTAGACATTTTTGCACACGTGAGCTAGGAGCAGCCAGCGTGCACATGGGAAGCTGTGTTGGGCACCATAGAAACACGGCCAGGCCCCTTCAGGTGTAAGACAACGTGTCGCTGGCTAGGGTATAGAAAAATAAAACCAGAGTGACACTGCTGGTAAGAATGTGAACTCATGGGCCTGGTGCAATAGCATAGCAGTTAAAGTCCTCACCTCAAACACGCCAGGATCCATATGGGTGCTGGTTCTAATCCCAGCAGCCCTACTTCTCATCCAGCTCCCTGCCTGTGGCCAGGAAAGCAGTGGAGGACGGCCCAATGCCTTGGGACCCTGTGCCAGTCTGAAACCTGGAGGAAGCTCCTGAAAGAGGCAAATGGAAAACCGTCTCTCCTCTCACACTGTAACTTTAAAAAAAAAAAAAATTATTTTTATTAGAAAGAAATACACAGAGAGAAAGAGAGGAACATCTGTCCACTGATTCACTGCAAGTAACCACAACATCCAGAGCCAGGAGCCAGGAGCTTCACATCTCCCATGCAGGTGCAGGGTCCCAAAGCCCCGGGCCGTCCTCTGCTGCTTTCCCAGGCCACAAGCAGGGAGCTGGATGGGAAGCAGAGCAGCCAGGACATGAACCAGTACCCATGTGGGATCCTGGCAGCATTTCCAAGGCAAGAATTTTGCTGCTAGGTTACTGTGCTGGATCCGCTCTAACTCATTCAAATAAAGTATGTCATTAAAACAAAGGGCTCAGCTCCAGCGGTTGCAGCTGGTTGGGGAATGAACCAGCAGATGACTGATCTGTCTCTTTTATCTCCATAAATCCACCTTTCCAATAAAAATAAATAAATCTTAGAAAAACATTGGCCCAGCATGGTAGCCTAGCAGCTAAAGTCCTCACCTTGTGTGCACTGGGATCCCATCTGGGCGCCAGTTTGTGGTGTCCCAACAGCCCCACTTCCCTTCCAGCTCCCTGCTTGTGGCCTGGGGAAGCAGTCGAGGATGGCCCAAAGCCTTGGGATCCTCCACTGCTCTCCCAGGCACATTAGCAGGCAGCTGGATGGCAAGCAGAGCAGCCGGGACTCAAACTGGTACCCATATGGCATATTGGTACTTCAGATGGTGGCTTGACCCGCCACACCACAGCTCCAGCCCCTCACATCAGCTCTTCCTGTCTGAAGAGCTGAAACTGCTGCTCGTGAACATGAAGCCCAGCCTCACCCCAGGCCCAGCAGCCGCCACCCTGCCGTCTCCAGGTGACTCTCAAGCTACAAGCTGCACCTCGGTGCCTCACCTGGATCACGTCATGTCCTCCAGTCATCACAGCCCTTTTAAAGACTGGATAATATTCCATTATATGGATTTACCATATTTTGCATAACCATTCATCAAAGATGGGCACTTAGTCTGTTTCCGTGTTGTAGTTATTTTATACCGTGCTGCTATCAACATTGATGAACAAATATTTCCTCAACATCTTGCTTGCTTTGCTTGGAGTATCTATCCAAAATTGGAATTGTTGTAATTCTTTTCTAAATTCACCATGGTTTTCCATTTTCCATCTTTTTCTTTTTATAAAAAGTCAGATATACAGAGAGGAGGAGAGACAGAGAGGAAGACCTTCCATCCGATGAGTCACTCCCCAAGTGAGCGCAACAGCCAATGCTATGCCGATCCAGGCCAGGAGCCAGGAACTTCTTCCAGGTCTCCCACGCAGGTGCAGGGTCCCAAAGCTTTGGGCCGTCCTCGACTGCTTTCCCAGACCACAAGCAGGGAGCTGGATGGGAAGTGGAGCTGCCGGGATTAGAACCGGCACCCATATGGATCCCAGCGCGTTCAAGGCGAGGACTTTAGCCACTAGGCCATTCCGCTGGGCCCTAATTTTGATTATCTCTACATTGTTGATTAGAGCACAAAGGGTGAAGGGCTACAGGAAAATGAATAAGGCCGTTGCTTCTATATTACTATTATTATTGTTGTTGTTGTTATTATTTTTGTATCTTGGGTAAGCAGGGAGATAAAGGGAGAAGCCCCACCCCGCCTCCCACCCATCCCAGGCCCCGATGTGGGGCATGCTCCAAGGGCACTGCTCAAGTGGTTTTGATAGTCCAACAGTTCAGAATTGCTGCCAGTCTCACCACTCCAAGCATGATGAAATCTCTCCCGAATCCACTGGCTGACATAGTCCACCTTAGAGTCTCTGCCCAGATTTGCACTGCCAACACACAGCTGAGGTAGTTGATTTATCTGTTCTGTGAACCTGTCCTGCAGGTTCCGATGGACGTCATTTCCTACGTGTGCTCCTGGATATGCAGTCCACTGCTGTTTCAGAGCCTCTAAGGAGGCTCTACTTTGACACATAAACTCCGTGGTCAGCTCATGGAACCTGCACTTCTCTTCATGGTTGGGGTTCTGAGATCATCAGTTTAGTTGGAGGGATCTCTAAAGAAACTGCCAGTCCACATGTCTAGAGGAGTATAAAACTCCTGGACACATATCTCAGCTGCCCTTTTCACCTCCATCTTCCTTCCGCTCTGCACGAAGGGGGCCCAGGAGCAATTGTCCAGTAATGCTTCTGTTACAACTATGGACAACTTGCTGGTATTATCCCAGCAGCAGGCAGGCGCTGGTCATGATCCAACACTCCCAGCTAGGGTGTCCTCCTAGCTCCCCAACCAGGCCTGTTCCCAGTCATAGATTGCATGTGTGCCAGTGGTTGCTTTGACCCAGCTTGGCACAGCCCCTCACATTTCTTGGTCTTTGCCTTGCATGCTGTGGGCTGGCATCCCTGGTCCATGCAGACCAATAGGTGTAAGAGCCTAGCTTGGCATGACCTGTGCTCCAGCCTGATTTCTGTTGTTGCTGGTGAGCTAAGGTTTGCTCAGCCCTGCCCAGTCTGCCCCCTTCCATAACCAACCTGCACTTTAGCTAACAGTTGGAGCTACTTTGCCCAGCCTGCCCAACCCCCAGGCCTGGACCATGTGATCATCAATGAGAGCTATGGCCCACTAGGGGAGTTACCCAGGTTCCCCCACTTGACCCACTCCCAGACCCAGATCTCATACATGCTAGTGGGTGTTAGGCCAGTGCCCGGCACAGTCTACCCTTCCATCTTGGCCTTGTATGAGCTGGTAAATGTTGCAGTCCGGCCCACCCTACACCCTGTTTTAGGATGCAAATTTGGGTGCTGCTGCCTTGACCTGCCCAGACTGTTGTCGGTTCCTCTACCCGTGAGTGATGGCAATTTCCATGAATCACCACCCCAACTCTTGAGCTAACCAGTGGGACTTGTATTTCCACAGGGTTGGGCCCACACATCCCCCACAAACTTTACAAAGATTCATAGAGAGAAGGAGATAGAGAAAGATCCATCCACTGGCTCAAACTCCCAACTGGCCATAATGGTTGGAGCTAAGCCCATCTGAAGCCAGGACTCAGGAACTTCTTTTGGGTCTCCCACACAGGTGCAGGTCCCAAGGCTTTGGGTCTGCTTTCCCAGGCCACAAGCAGGGAGCTGGATGGGAGGTGGAGCAGCTGGACATGAACTGGAGCCCACATGGGGATTCCAAGTTGAGGATTTAGCCCTTGAGTCATCATGCGGGTCTGTGGATACGCTGGGCCCCTGGAGCTCCACTCTGAAAGGTGATGTGGGAGCAGCTGATAGGCGCTTACTGCGCAGGTGTTTTCATTCTGGGAGCATCCAGCAGCTCTGGGAGTGACTATGATGATGTAGTTCAAAAAGCAAAAACAAATACATATATCTCCCGCAGTAGAAAATGTCCCTGTCAGAACAATAAGACCCAGTAGGGGAGGTGGCACTTGAAGGGTCCCTGCCATCAAGGGATCCTGCAGGCACCCGGCACCCGAGGCGCTCCAGCTTCCTGGCAGCTGCCAACTGGCCCTGGTAGAAATCCCCCGAAGGCCTTGGGAGCCTCTCGGCCCGCCCCCCTCCCCATCCCCTTTGTGTCACCCTCGCTGCCCTGTCCAGATCTGACCCCTCCTGATGGCCAGGTCCCCCGGCGGTCATATGCGCCTAATGCCACGGGCAGAGGCAGGAAGGTGTGTGGACGCCGGGGTCACAGTGAGTCGGCTGCGTCCTGTGCAGTGGCCATCTCCAAACGCACGCAGTAAGCGCTCAACTGCAACCCCGGCCAGCAAGGTCTGTGGCCCGCGGACCCACGCAGCCGCCCGGGGCGGTGCCCCGGCTCCTCGCGGACGCCTGACCCAGCGGGCAGCACTGGCCGCGCCCGGCGCCGCCCCTCGGACACGGCCCGGCCGAGTCGCCCCTAGCAACAGCGCCCGGCCGCGTCGCGCCCGCCGCCCCGATTGGCGGCCTGCGGAGGCGGCGTGGCGTCACTTCCGGCAGCCGGAGACGGCAGAGGAAGCGGCTCGGCGGCCATCTTGGTCCGTGAGGCCCTGAGGTGCCGGGATCCGCGGCCGGCAGGGCGGCGGCTGAGGCAGAGAGCGAGCGGGAGAGCGGAGTCTCTGCCACAGCCCGCTCCATGGTCGGCGCCCGCAGCCCGCGGCGGCCTGTCGTGCGCTCCACCTCGTGCGCATCCTCCGTGTCCTCAGCGGCTGCCGGCGGCGCTGCGTGGAGGCCCCGGAGCTGAGTCCCGGGCGGCACGGAGGACGAGCAGGAGCCGGGGCGGCCCGGCCCGCGCGGGGCTGAGGCGCGGGGACGCCGCCCGCCGGGCTCCCGGGAGGGGAGGATGAGCCCCGGGAGCCTGCGGGGCACGGCCCGGCCCAGGCCCGGGAACTAGACGGCCGCCGGGGAGGGGCCGGCTTCCTGCGGCCGCGCCGTGTCCTCGTCGCCCGCGTCCCGTGCGGAACCCGAGCGCAGGAAGATGTCCACTAGGACCCCGCTGCCCACGGTGAATGAACGGGACACCGAGAACGTGAGTCCTGACCATCGTCCGGCCGGGGCCTGGACGTCCGGGGAGCCGTGGGCTGCGTCTGCCTGTCGGGGGGCGTGCGGGGCCAGGGGCCCTTTGTGTCTGCCCGGGCCGTGAGCGCTGGGCAGCGGGCGATGTGGGGGCAGTGGGCAGTGGGCAGAGTGAGAGCATTGGGCAGCGGGCAATGTGGGGGCAGTGGGCAGCGGTCAGTGTGATGGCAGTGGGCAGAGTGAGAGCGCTGGGCAGCGGGCGATGTGGGGGCAGTGGGCAGCGGTCAGTGTGACGGCAGTGGGCAGAGTGAGAGCACTGGGCAGCGGTCAATGTGGGGGCAGTGGGCAGCGGTCAGTGTGATGGCAGTGGGCAGCGGTCAGTGTGATGGCAGTGGGCAGAGTGAGAGCACTGAGCAGCGGGCAGGGTGGGAGCAGTGGGCAGCGGGCAGGGTGGGAGCACTGGGCAGGGTGGGAGCACTGGGCAGCGGGCAGGGTGGGAGCACTGGGCAGCGGGCAGGGTGGGAGCAGCGGGCAGCGGGCAGGGTGGGAGCACTGGGCAGCGGGCAGGGTGGGAGCAGTGGGCAGCAGGCAGGGTGGGAGCACTGGGCAGCGGGCAGGGTGGGAGCACTGGGCAGCGGGCAGGGTGGGAGCACTGGGCAGCGGGCAGGGTGGGAGCACTGGGCAGCGGGCAGGGTGGGAGCACTGGGCAGCGGGCAGGGTGGGAGCAGTGGGCAGCGGGCAGGGTGGGAGCACTGGGCAGCGGGCAGGGTGGGAGCAGTGGGCAGCGGGCAGGGTGGGAGCACTGGGCAGTGGGCAGGGTGGGAGCAGTGGGCAGCGGGCAGGGTGGGAGCACTGGGCAGCGGGCAGGGTGGGAGCAGTGGGCAGCGGGCAGGGTGGGAGCACTGGGCAGTGTGGCTTGCACCTGAAGCAGGGCTGAGGGGAGCCGAGCAGCTTGCCTGGACGCTGCACTTGACGTGGACTCAGAGCAGGAGCTTGCGGCGGGGCTGCGGCCGTGTGCGCCGGGAGGCCGGTCCGTGCGCGTGTGGTCAGAGCCCGGCCAGGGAAGGCCTGTGCTATTTTTACTCAGGACTGAGGGAGGTAGGTGGCTGCTGCTCAGTGGCTTGACCCGTTCGTCATTTGTTCTTAAAGTACTGTGCTGAAAGTGTCTCGTGGTTTTTTTTTTGTGGTTTAAAATTATTCTTTAAAACAGCTAGGGATATTGAGGCCCTTTATTTTCGTGTAATGTATTTAAAATGGGATTTTTAGCATTGTGAAAATCAGGTAGCTCGTAGTTTGTAGCTCGTAGTTCATTAACTGGCCACGCTCTCATGTTCCAGGCTGCCTTTTTCTCCTTTCAGCATGTACTTATTTTTGTTGGGCAGGCAGGTTGGATTTTATGGAGAGATACAGAGGAAGATCTTCCATCCGTTGCTTCACTCCTCAAGCAGCCACAATAGCTGGAGCTGAACCAATCTGAAGCCAGGAGCCTCTGGGTCTCCCACGAGGGTGCAGGGTCCCAAGGCTTTGGGCCGTCCTCCGCTGCTTTCCCAGGCCACAGGCAGGGAGCTGGATGGGAGGTGGAGCAGCTGGGACATGAAAATCCCTTCGGTTGCAACGCGAGTTAGCCACCAAGCCATCACACTGGGCCCTCTTTATTTTCTTTTCTTTCTTTCTTTTTTTTTTTTTTTTTTTTAAGATTTATTTATTTTATTGGAAAGAGAGACGCAGAGAAGAGAAGAGATGGAGGAGATCTTCCAGCCACAGACTTACTACCTAAGTGGCCATAATGGCCGTAGCCAAACTGATCTGAAGCCAAGAGCCACGCGCTTCCTCTGGATCTCCCACGCGGGTGCAGGGTCCCAAGGCTTTGGGCCATCCTCCACCGCTTTCCCAGGCCACAGGCAGGGAGCTGGGTGGGAGGTGGGGCCTCTCGGACATGAAGCGGCGCCCGTATGGGATCCCAGGCGTACTTGGTGAGGACTTTAGTGCTAGGCTTACCGTGCTGTGAGCCTAGTTCCAATGCCTTTGTGTCTACCCTGACTGCATCTACCCTAGCGTTCCGGAGTGATATTACTGGAGAGTAGTGGAGTTAGAACAATTTCCTAATTTGCCTTCTGATAGTAGACTGACCCAGAAGGGTCACTTGAACTGGGCAGTGTGTTTTGGTGTTGAAGGAATTCCAGGCTGTTTTTGACGACATTCTTTTCATGTTCTCCCTGCCCGTCCCTGTGTCGAGTCCTTGACCTGCCCGTGGCCTGCTGGGCTGTGCGCGGACGCTTGCGGCTTTGCTGGCGGACGGAGTGAGGAGCCCATGCTTCTCTTCGGTCAGCCCACCAGGGTCACCAGGTAGACATTTTAGATACCGAGTGATCAAGAAATTTCTACTTTCGGTAATGTATTCTAATTTTGATTTCTTCTAACCTAATCAAGTTCTTAACATGTATTTACTGCTTTTATCATTTCTTTGCTCTACTTTCTGCTGTCAAACCAACTATACCACAATTCAGTAAGAGGAAACAACAGTTACTCTTATGCTCCTGGACTGTGTTGAAGACGTTCAGACACAGATGTCTTGTCTCTGTCGATGGAGTCGGAGCCTCGGTTGAGAGAACTCTGTACTTATTTACTTAGAGATCGAGCCAGCAACCCAGGCTGCTTGCATCTGCCTCTTCACTCTCCGTGTGAATGACAGAGTAGGCTAGGCCCGGGCAGGAGCCTGGCCTCGGTCAGCGGGACCCTCGGCCAGGAGGCCTCAGGGTCCTGTCTTGCCTGTGGTTTCTCGGTGCTGAGAGCCCGGGGCAGCAGTGGCTGCTGCTTCTGTCTGCTGGCTGCAGCTGCGGGCCCACTCACTCCCTGGGAAAGGGCGTAGACCTTAATGGGATGTCAGACTTCAGTAGTCATATTTTTAAACCACAAAAGTAGGACTTGTTTGGGTTTATGATTTGCCCTGGTGTTTTATCATGTGTCTTTCAGCATGCTGCTTTGTTGGCAACAGTAATGACTGTAAGAAAGGTTGCTTTCCCCAAGCTCTGACTTCTCTTCCTGCCTCTCTGACCCTGGCTGTTCTTGGGCCGCTTACAGACACCGGAACCTCAGGACTTCAGCTGCTCTTCAGCCAACGGGGACACTTTTATCTGGCTAACACTCTTCACTTCTCGCTCTAAAGGCTTCTCTGGCCATCCATGCCTTTCCAGTCCCCATGTAGCTATGTGAGAGACAGAGTTATAGCTCTTCAACCTGTTGGCTCACTTCCTAAAGGACCTTGACATTTGGGGCTGGGGCAGCTTGAAGCCAGGATCTTGGGGTGTTGTTCATTTGGGTCTCCTACATGGGTGTAGGGCCCAAGTACTGGGCCATCCTCTGCTGCTTTCCGGGCACGTTAGCAGGAGCTGGATAGGAAGTAGAATGCCATGGTGTGCATCCCCTAATTTATTTTTTTAAATGGTTGTTTTTTTTTTTTTTAAGATTTATTTATTTTTATTGCAAAGTCAGATATACAGAGAGGAGGAGAGACAGAGAGGAAGATCTTCCGTCCGATGATTCACTCCCCAAATGACCGCAGTGGCCAGAGCTGAGCCGATTCGAAGCAAGCCAGGAGCCAGGAATTTCCTCCAAGTCTCCCACATGGGTGCAGGGTCCCAAGGCTTTGGGCTGTCCTCTGGTGCCTTCCTAGGCCACAGGCAGGGAGCTGGAAGGGAAGCAGGGCTGCCAGGATTAGAACCTGCACCCATATGGGATCCTGGTGTGCTCAAGGCCAGGACATTAGCCACTCTAGGCCACTGCACCAGGCCCTCTTTATTTTTTATTGGAAAGGCATATATACACAGGGGAGGAAAGAGAGGGAGGAGGATCTTCCGTCCGATGATTCACTCCCCAAGTGAGCACAACGGACGAAGCTGAGCTGATCTGAAGCCAGGAGCCTCCTCTGTGTCTCCCACGCGGGTGCAGGGTCCCAAGGCTTTGGGCCGTCCTCCACCGCTTTCCCGGGCCACAAGCAGGGAGCTGGATGGGAAGCGGGACTGCTGGGATTAGAACTGATGCCCATATGGGATCCCGGGCGTGCAAGGCGAGGACCTTAATGACTTGCGCCACCGCGCCGGGCCCAAATTTTATTTTTTTTTTGATGTTGTTCATGCAGGTGACAAAGATGCCTGTGATAAGCACTGACCAGGGTGGGGGGCTCTAGGGCATGGTGGGCGGGGAAGTACAAATGCTTCCAGTTTTCCTTTTTTCCCCTTTCTGTGTGAGGGAGGGGAAGGACGCCCAACATCAGCACCTGGGAATGGGGTTGTCCACATGATGTCCTCTTAGAAACAGCAATGTGTAGAAAAATGTTCTGAAACTATCAGTAGTTTTGATAGGTCTGAGATGTTGTTGGTTTCATTGCTCCAAGTTGAGAAAATTCTTCCAGGGTCCATTGGCTGACACAGTCCACCCCAGGGCATCACTCACCCAGACACCTGCTGGCAGAGCTCGGCCAGGAGAGCTGTCCTCCTGCTCTGCTTTCCATCTTCTGATGTGGCCCTTGACTCCTGCAGGGCTGGATGAGCTGGATCATGTCCTCCGTGTGTGTCTGGGGTGCAGTCCGCTGCATAGGAATCAGCAATTGAGGAGGCCTAGTCCCAATATATGCCTCTCACAGTTGGACCACAAATTCTGGTTTTTTTTTTTTAAGATTTATTTATTTTTATTACAAAGTCAGATATACAGAGAGGAGGAGAGACAGAGAGGAAGATCTTCCATCCGATGACTCACTCCCCAAGTGAGCGCGAAGGCTGGTCCAAAGCCAGGAGCCAGGAACTTCCTCCAGGTCTCCCACACGGGTGCAGAGTCCCAAGGCTTTGGGCCGTCCGCGACTGCTTTCCCAGGCTACAGGCAGGGAGCTGGATGGGAAGTGGAGCAGCTGGGGTTAGAACCGGTGCCCATATGGGATCCCGGCACATTCAAGGTGAGGACCTTAGTCTCTAGGCCGCTGGGCCTGGACCACAAAATCTCTAATTTTGCATGTGATGT